CTGTTTCTGCAAGGTTAGTACTAGATTCTGTAAATCAGAGTTAACTGGATTACCTGGGTCTCTCTCTTGTGTTTCACTAGGGGTTCCACCGCTGCCTGAATTAACCAATCCTGAACGAGGATTCTCCAAAGTGTTGTTGTTTGGAGTAGATGTGGGTGGAACAGCAGGTAATTGGCTAACAAAAGCTTGAAGAGCGTTATTGACTTGAGAGGCAATACGTTTTTGCAGAGCCTCATTCATGGTTTCAACATTTTCGAATTGAGCCTGTCCATCTGTGTGAGATCCATCAGGAGTGCCTTCACGAGACCGCCGTGGGGAGCCTCGTGGAGAACCTTGTGGAGAGCCTTGTGGGGAATCTCCCTGAAGTTGTTGGATTGTCTGAATTTCTGGGTTCCCTTGAGTGTTGTCATTGTTGTTCGACATGATTGATGCAATCAAGAAAATTAGATTGAGATATGCTTGATTATCAGATTTCCGGTAACGAAACCAATTTGTTTAACCAAAAATTAGATTTTAGGTCAAAGCTTGAATTTAGAAGAACTTGGGTTACTGATAATCGAAAAAAGTATATAAGAAAGAGATTTTGAATAATATAATCAGAAAGTAAATAAAACAAAGTATATTCCAGTAGTGTTTTTCGTGTCCCCTACAGATGTTGTGACTTTCTCTTTTTATAGTTAATTTTAAGAGAAAGTGTAATGCCTTTGTCTTAATGAGGCAATTACGAGCAATAAATGACATTGAAAGAAACGTTACTCAATCATTCATATTAAATACAAATTCTCTAACGTATTTGGCATTTAATGCTGTATTTGGACTCTTTTTCGCTATCAGATTCTTCAATTCCTTCTGATCTTCGAACTTTAAATGACTCGAACAGGTACGAGTCTCGTTTCATTTGAATAATAGCTCGTGCCTTTAAGTATCTTCTCTCCAGCATCTGTTGTTGGTCGTGCCTTCTAACTGATTACCACGCTTTGACTATTTGACCGGTCCACGTGTCATGACACGTCATCTTCAATATTTAAATTTAGTTTTTTCCCAATACACATGTATCTACCCTGTAAATTAAAAGCCAATTTGTGAACTCTTTTTCTCTATCTGACTGTTCCTCAAATCTAACTTGCAATGGAGAAATTTTCTTGGAGCTCCTTTTAACTGGTACTCGGTTAAACTTCACCTCCCAAGTTAATTATTTTTGTTTCAGGAGTGCATCCATGCTCAACGGATTCCACCTTGCAAAAAATTCTGACCACAATTGAATATTATTTTTTGTACAAAGGTCAAGAGCTCATCAGCATCTCTGTCATTGATATTTCTTTGATGTAATTAATTCTATCTAGTTCTGCTTTAGCTCGTTTCCAAGGCAATCCAATTCAAGTTCTAGGTCACACAGTTGATGAGATCCCGAAGAAACCTCCAGTTGACGGCAATAGAGCCGGTGGTGGTAACATTGCTTGCTTGTCCAGTTGAGAATCAATAGCAGCGTGAACTTTTGCAACGCATAGAGGAGATTGTAAGAGAGGAATGTGTCATATAGAGAGAGAGAAAAAGAGAGAGAAAGAGAGAGAGCGCTTGTGCCAAAGGATATAGTAGACATACGTTGCTAACCTATCGAAGAGAATTCTTTGAAAGAATAGCCGGTTGTTTCTCACAATACACACATGAAGGCCCGTTTGTCCATGAAATTTTGCAAGTTTTTAAAAAATTTTAGAAAATGAGTTTTCCAAAGTCAAAAATTTCAGAAAAACTTTTTTACCCACTCACAAAAATGCAACATTTTTTCAAGTGAAATGCATGTCCAAGCATAATTTTAAATTTTAAATACCATTTTAATTTCAACTTAACTTTAAATACTAGTACTACTTTGTTTCTAAAATTACAATTTTTATGTCCAAACGCCTGCTAAGAATACACACGCGCACGGGAAAGAAAAGAGAGAGACTATGTGCACAGTGCACTTATCATTAATGTTTGATGAACTGGGTTTAACCATAATATAATAATAACCTCTTCCACTGCTACTCAAATTTGAGAAACCAAAGGGAAAAGGGTTCACGATGCAAGTCTTTTTTAACCAGTGAGTTTCACATGGTTAGGACGTTAGTTTTTTGTTCTATTGTGTGTGCTTCCGTTAATAAGACCAAACCTGCTCACCTTTTGGTGTACTTAAGGGACAATATGTGCTCAAATGTATATTTAAGGGATAAAGTTAAACCTAATCTCAAACATAAGGGAAAATTTTGGTTAAAAACTCCAATCTTTACACCTAAATTCTTACGAATAAGATATAGAGAATAATAGATAGGGTGCATAATGTTAGGTTTAGAATTTTAATAATGATCAATAATCCAAAGAGCCTTGATTAGTGTCATCTCACTTTGTGTGCAGATTCGCAACAACACTGATGAATGAAAGGAAAGAAGAATCAACGGCTATGTTCTTCGAACTCTGCATCATATGGAAAGAGAATTGATCAACCAAATAACAAGGAAGGAAAGTTAATCAATCCGACTAGCTAAAGATTCTCATGCGTGCAAGAAAGGAAAGAGTGCCAATCAAGGATAGAGAATAAATCAAAGGAAAACCAGTGGAAGCTTTAATCAAGGATAATTGGAGGAACCAAATCTTTAAACTAAGAATGAATCTAGCCACACCTCTCAAGCTAGATTCATAAGGCTATCCTTGGGTCTCACTCTTAGAAATCTATGCCTCACAAGGAAAGAACTCCAATCATTGCTGTTGTACGATCCCGGAAAAGAGAAATCAAAAGACTCATCGAGCAATATAAAAGAAGAAGTAGAAGGACAAAGAAGATCACACAACTTCACATTTGTTGCTATACCTTTCTAGTTCTTAGTATAAATACTGTATTCTTGAGTCTATAACTGTCGCAAAAGATAGAAAGAGTTAGAAAACAAAACAAGAGTTGTGTCAACATTAGAATAAAAAATTGTTATTGTGGTGGTGAGCGTACTAAAACTATCACTATTATAAAGACTTACTGAAGATCTAAGAGAATCCTTGTAACCCAAGGGAACTGGATGTAGGTACCACACCGGTATTGAACCAGTATAAAAACGGTTGTGTCTCCTTTACGTTTCTGGTTGCAAAATTTACTTTTGCTATGATTGATCCCATCGTGAAGTTTAGTCGACTAATACCTCTCTTAGTCAACTAAGTTTTAAATCAGCCACAATTCACCCCCCTCCACTTGTATTTTCAATTAGTATCAGAGCAAGGACTCACAAATGTTGCTTAAAAGAAAGTGAGGAAACGATCATGGCATCAAACACAATCGTTGGAGCACTATTTCAAGAAGTAACTTCTCAGGTACGACCTTCTTACTTCAATGGCCAGCACTTCTCACACTAGAAAGTGCATATGGAAGCCTACACTATATCATATGACATTAAGGTACGGCGTGTGATCAAAAAGAAAAATCTTCCGATTCCGCCAAAGATTGATGAAGACGGTGAAATCATAGTATCATCTGATCCTCTTGATTTAGATGAATACACCGAAGAACAAGCAGTTGTTATCCAAGTGAACGCCAAGGAATTTTTTTTTTTTTTACAATACCATAAGCGGAGAAGAGTATGAAAAGATATCTAGTTGTGAAATTGCAAAGGAAATGTGGGACAAGTTAGAAGTCACATATGAAGGAACAAACAAAGTGAAAGAAACAAGGATTAATCTCCTAGTTCGAGATTATGAATTATTTCAGATGAAAGATGGAGAATCAATGGAAGAAATGTTCCCCAGGTTCAGCAAAATCCTTGGAGACTTAAAATCCTTTGGTAGACCAATCAGAAGTGGAGAACAAGTCAAGGAAATTCTAAGAAGTCTCCCCAGTATTTGTCAACCTAAAGTTATTGCTCTGGAATGTTAGGATATCGACAAGATGTCATATGACGAACTCAGAGGTGATCTAATTGCGTTTGAGAAAACACATTTAGACAGGAAAGTCCAGCAAGAAAAAAGGCAGGCAGTTGCATTCAAAGCAACCGTAGCTGAATCAGAAAATGAAGAAGAAGAAGAAGAAAAAGGAGGAGAACAAGATGAAAATATAATCATGCTCTCTAAAGTTGTAACAAGCATGATGAGGAAAAACAAAAATAGTAGGTAAAATCAAATTTCAGAAAAGGGAAGATGAATAATGAAAATGACAAAAATAATGGAAGATGCTACGAATGTGGAAAACATGAATACATTCAAGCTGAATGTCCTGAGCTGAAAAAGAAACTAAGCAGAAATTTCTAGAAGAAGAAATCCTTTGGAGCATGGAGTGATGAAGAAGAATCCGATCATAAGAAAATTGCCAACATGTTCTTCATGGCCATCAAAGAAGATTCAGGCGAGCTTAGTCTCATGGCAGACGAAGGATCAAGTGAGGTACGTCTTCCTACATGTCCTAATTGTAATGAACTTCAAGAATTTATTGATATTGCAGACATTGAGAAAGTTCTAAATGAGCCTCGAAAGATCCAAAGAGAAAATAAAGACTGGGCACTGAAATTAGAAGTATGTGAAATTGAAAGAGACATGCTTCAAGATAAAGTTAATGAACTTCAACTTAAATTGAAAAGATTGTGAAAATCCACCAGTCATAGTTTCGTCAAATCAGATCAGTCAGCTCCTCGTAATTTCACATCTAAAACAAGAAATCGCTCTGCATGCACTCATTGTGGCAACACTTCGAACAGTTGCAGGTTTAGAAATAGAGGAGAAAAAGTCTCTGAAAATTTCAATAACCCTTCCTGCTTTTATTGTGGAAAACCTGGCCATACATCTAACTATTGCAGGTTTAAGAATAATAGAAGATGGGTCTGGTGACCCAAGACCTCTATTCAAGCTAATACTCATAGTACTAACTATTCAGGACCCAAGCAGGCTTGGGCACCTAAAAACAAGTAATATTTTATTTTGCAGGAACACCGCAAGAAAAATAGGAAAGAGAAATGGTATCTTAATAGTGTGTGTTCCAGACATATGATAGGGACAAATAACTTTTCAAAACTGTCACTAAACTAGATGGTGGATTGGTCACTTTTGGAGACAAATCAAAAGGAAATGTAATTGAAGTTGGTAGAGTCTCTCTCAGCTCATCATGTGATGTTGACGGAGTATACCTAGTAGATGAACTTGGCTACAAACTACTAAGTATCAGTCAACTATGTGACAATGAATATGAGGCTTGTTTTAAAAAGCATAGTTGGTTTATTGAAGACGGATCATGTAAAATTATTCTTTCTGGAAATAAAGATAGGAATGTCTACACTCTTAGTAATATAAACGGTCTTGGAAATCAGATTTGCCTAACTTTTATGATTGATGATCTCTGGATTTGGCATAGAAAACTTGGTCATGCTAGCACGAACACTATTCATAAACTTTCCAAATATCATCTTGTCGTTGGTCTTCCAAAACCAGATTTTTCAAAAGATCAAGTCTGTGATGCATGCCAGTTAGGAAAACAAACCAAGTCCTCTTTTAAAGTTAAAAATATAGTTTCTATGACAAAACCTCTTCAACTTCTGCATATGGACCTTTTTGGTCCAACTAGAACTGCTAGTATAGGTGGTAGAAAATATGCTTTTGTTATAGTAGATGATTTTTCTCGATTTACCTGGGTTATTTTTACGAGTCATAAAGATGAAGCATTAAGGAATTTTGAAGTCTTCTGCAAGAAGGTACAACGAGTAAAATGTTACTACATATCAGCCATAAGAAGTGACCATGGGGATATTTGAAAGCAAAGAATTTAAATAATTCTGCAATGATCAAGAGATCTCCCACAATTTTTCATCTCCTATATCACCTCAACAAAATAAAGTAGTAGAACGCAAAAATAGAACCTTGCATGATATGGCAAGAATTATGATTGTGGAAAACTCTTCCCCCCCCCCCCCCCACACCACTTCTAGGCAGAAGATGTAAGCACAACATGTCACATCATTAACAGATGCTTAAATCGACTTATTCTCAAAAAGACTCCATATGAACTATAAAAAGGTAAAAGACCCAACATCAGTTATTCCATCCTTTTGGTTACAAATGCTTTATCCACAATAATGGAAAAGAAAACCTTGATAAGTTTGATCCAAAAAGCGATGAAGATATTTTTCCTGGATACTCTCCCTCCAGTAGAGCATATAGAGTTTTTAATAAATGTACTTTATCTGTTGAAGAAGCTATACATGTTGTATTTGTGGACACTAACCCTCGCTCAAGGAATGAAAAACTTCCTGAAGATGAGGAAATTTTCATAGTTCCAAAGTCTTTCAATACAGGTTAAAACACCCGTGATGAGGTGACTGATCAGCAGAATCAGTCGACTGACGATTACATAGATAACCAGGAGCTTCCTACAGTTTAACAATCAAGTCCTATTGAAAAAGAGCCAGTATCAGTTGTTCCAAATGAATGGAAAAGTGAGCCTGGATACCCACATAAGTACATCATTGGAAATTCTCAGGAAGGCATGAAAACAAGAAGATCGCTAAAGCAGACGTCAAATATTGCGCTCATATCTCAATTCGAACCAAAAAAGGTAGATGAGGTCCTTGGGAACGAAAGATGGATAACTACAATGAAGGAAGAGCTTGATCAGTTTGAGAAGAATAAAGTATGGGAACTCATCCCTAAACCTCCAAATGCATCCATTGTTGGAACAAAATGGGTATACAGAAATAAGCTGAACGAGCGTGGACAAGTTGTACGAAATAAAGCTGGACTGGTTGCTCAAGGTTATTTGCAGCAAAAAGGAATTGATTACGAGAAAACTTTTGCTCCTGTTGCCAAGTTAGTATCTATTCGTATCTTATTATCTTATGCTGATCACAAATGTTTTAGACTATTTCAGATGGATGTAAAAAACGTATTCTTAAATGGTTTCATCTCTGAGGAAGTGTTCGTTAAGAAACCTCCAGGTTTTGTAAATGAATTCTTTCCAAATCATGTCTACAAATTATCCAAATTCCTTTACGGGCTAAAGCAAGCTCTAGAACTTTGTATGAAAGGTTAAGTTCATTCCTAGTCAATCATGGGTTTGATAGAGGTAATATTGGTACTACTCTCTTTATCAAACAATCATCTAAAGGTAATTTAATTGTACAAATCTATGTAGATGATATTATTTTGGCAGTACTAATCATGTGTTATGCAAGGACTTTTCAAACATCATGAAAGGAGAATTTGAAATGAGTATGATGGAAGAATTAACCTTCTTCCTTGGGTTACAAATCAAGAAAGTACAGAAAGGGACTTTCATTAGTCAAACAAAATATACAAAAGAGCTCATCAAAAAATTTGGCATGTCTAATACTAAGGCCATAGGGACTCCTATGAGTCCATCAACCACCCTGGATGAAGATAAAGATGGTAAGAGTGTTGATGAAACAATGCATCGAGGTATGATTGGATCTCTACTCTATCTTACGGCTAGTCGACCTGATATTATGTTTAGTGTTTGTAAATGTGCAAGATATCAGATAGCTCCCAAAGAATCCCACTTGACTACTGTTAAACGTATTATCAGATATCTGATAGGGACAATCGACTATAGATTATAGTACGAAAGCTTAAAATCTTTAATCTCAAAGATTTTTCAGACGCATACTTTGCAGGTGAGAAAATTGACAGGAAAAGCACAAGTGGAACGTGCCAATTACTTGGAAAATCTCTTATATCCTGGCACATCAAGAAACAAATATGTGTTGCTTTATCTACTACGGAAGCAGAATATTTGGCAGTAGGCAACTGCTGCACACAAGTTCTATAGATTATGCATCAATTGTTAGACTATGATTTACGTATTAAGTGTGTCCCTATTATGTGTGATAACACTAGTGCTATTTGCCTTTCAAAAAACTCCGTGCATCATTCTAGGGCTAAGCATATTGAGATTAAGCATAATTTTATCCATGACCATACTGCAAAAGGTGATATTGTGTTAGAATTTATCAATACTGAAAATCAGTTAGCAGATATTTTTACAAAACCATTGCTTGAAGAAAGATTACGTTTCCTTCATGACATAATTGGTCTTCATGACATAATTGGTATTTGTTTGATTCCCGTTTAATTTCTCTAAATTTGTTTATTTTAGAAAATTTTCCATAATTGATCTTCGTGATTTTCTCCCTAATTATCTCTAAGTATTTGATTACCCTGTACTTGTATTTATTACCTTAATAACGGCGGGCATGCATAAAGCAACTTTTTAGTTGCCTTTCACACGTCTCTCTAGAATCTAGGCGTCCATTTTCCCTTTTTAACCTCTCCTCTCTTGTTCATACCTCTCACTATCTCAAAAAAACCATTCTCTCTCTCTCTCTCTCTCTCTCTCTCTTATCTCTCTTATTCTTGGCCAAAACAAACCATCTCCATCCTCCTCCATGCTTAGAAGAATCCATCGCTTCAAGAAAAACCATCAAATTGGTGATCCTGTGGATGTAGAGTCGTCAGAGAGTATAGATCATCAACTATTCGAGGTTGAATCCAGTGATTCTCAAGAAGAAATTCTCGTCACTCAAAAGAGGGCTGGAAAACATCCATTGGAGTCCATCCCCGAACAATCATCTCAAAAGAGAGGGAAAACAGAAAGCATAGAATTTGGGTCTAAAGACAAGATGAATTTCTATGGCCCCGAAGAGAAGAAAAAATTTGTCGCTTTCAAAGGGAAGTCGATTGCTTATGGTCGCACTGTGAGTTTGAAATCTATGAAAAACTCTCACTGTGATGTTATCTATGTGTTTGAAACTCAAAAACTTGACTTCCTATTTGCTACTGTTGGTGACACTGTCTATGAAGAGATTGTGCGTATGTTTTATGTAAATTTGTTTGTGAATGATAAAGAGGATCTAGAATCCATGGTTTTGGGAACTCGTGTTATTCTTGACTCTTACTGGTTTGAAAAAATCTTTGCAACAAAGTTTGTTGGTTTAGTTTCTTTGTGCAACATTCTTGGCCTGATAATTTTGAAATGTCATTTGAGGAAGCAAAAGGTATGTTGTCTGAAACCCCCTGAAATTGGTCCCAAAAATTTAAAATTTGAGCATCGTGAACTAGCCCACATTATTGCTACCACCCTGCTACCCCGTACTAGTTCACTTAATACCCTGTATCTTAGAGATGTGTTTGTCCTGTACTATCTTGTGAACGGGAAGGCTATTAATTGGGTTGCTTGGATGCGCCAGTACATGCTTTATAGCTTCAGGGATGTCTCATCTTCTGCGAACAGTTTGCTCTATGATTTACTAATCTCTCACATCTTGCAAGTTATGAAAGTAGATTTGTCTCCTTATTCCCCTAAAACCATCTCCAGCACATATGACAAAACTGCCTTGCTATGATGGGGTACACCTTGGTTGAAGGAACCTGGTTCAAGAAAGACAAAGCACCAGATTCCACTCCTCAACAAGGCACTGAAGGGATTAAATCTGAAGCTAGCAAATCCTCTTCCTCGGATCAGTTGCTACTAATGCAACAAAATATTACAGGTATCAAGGAACTGCTAGCCTCTATGCAGGAACATGTGGACAAGATCAGGGAAGTAACTAAGGAAACTGGGGCAGATATAGTCAGGTTAAGTATCACTCTCCAAGCCACAAAGAGGCAATGGATCAAGGCTATGCAGGATGTCACTGAGAAGCTGATCAAAGTCACCAAGGAGATTGATGCATCCTATGATAGTTTCTGCACCAAAGTGATCAATACCTTGAAGTATTTCCTTGAAAGGAATTAAGTGTCTGAGCTGTTTAAACAATCTTTTTCTTTATTTTTATGCTGGTTGTTAAAACTTTTGTTTTGGCTGTGTCTGGATGGGCATGTAGTCGATTATGCCTGGTATAACTGCTAGTTGTATATATTTTTGCTGCTTAACTAGTATTATTATTAGATATTATTCTCTTCTTGCTCTTTTTGAGTGATGTCAAAAGGGGAGAAGAAAAATAGTCCAAAGATAGGGGGATCATGAAAACAAACAAGGAGCACAAAGCCAGGGGGAGCAGAAGTAAACTCGTAAAACGAAGTATCCCTAAATTAGTCGAACTCTTTTTGGATTATTGTCATCATCAAAAAAGGGGATATTCTTAGGTTTAGAATTTTAATAATGATCAATAATCAAAAGAGCTTTGACTAATGTCATCTCACTTTGCGTGCAGATTCGCAATAGCATTGATGAATGAAAGGAAAGATAATCCTACGAGTAAATCAGAGGAAGCCAACGACTATGTTCTTCAAACTCTGCATCAAATAAAAGAGAATCAATCAATCAAAGAACAAAGAAGGAAAGTCAATCATTCAGACTTGCCAAAGATTCTCAAGCGTGCAAGAAAAGAAAGAGAGCCAATCAAGGATAGAGAGCAAATCAAAGGAAAATCTACGGAAGCTCTAATCAAGGATAATTGGAGGAACCAAATCTTCAAACTAAGAATGAATCTAGCCACACCTCTCAAGCTAGATTCATGAGGCTATCCTTGGGTCTCACTCTTAGAAATCTATGCCTCATAAGGAAAGAACTCCAATCATTGCTGTTGTACGATCCAGAAAGAGAAATCAGAAGACTCATCGGGCAATATAAAAGAAGAAGTAGAAGGACAAAGAAGATCACGTAATTTCACATTTGTTTCTACACCTTTCTAGTTATTAGTATAAACACTATATTCTTGAATACACAAGTGTCGTAAAAGATAGGAAGAGTTAGAAAACAAAACAAGAGTTGTGTCAACTTTAGAAAAAAAAACATTGTTGTTGTATATCGTTGGTGGTGAACGTACTAAAACCATGATTGTTGTAAAGACTTACTAAAGATCTAAGAGAACCCTTGTGACCCAGGGGAAGTGGACGTAGGTACCACAACTGTACTGAACCAGTATAAAAACTGTTGTGCCTCCTTTACGTTTCTGGTTGCGAAATTTAATTCTGCTGCGATTGATCCCACTGTGACGTTTAGTCGACTAATTCCTCTCTTAGTCAACTAAGTTTTAAATCAGCCACAATCTACCCCCCTCCACTTGTATNCCCCCCCACCCCCCCCCCCGGTCCCGTACTTTCACATAAAAACTTACCAATTTAAATAGGAAGGTTCTTCCCAAAAATATTGATTGAACTTGAATTGCAACTAAAATATTACAATATTCTGAATAGTCAAATATTAAAATAAAAGATAAGTTTAGATAATTCATATTGTTCCAAAGATAGTGTTATTAACGGTGTTAAAAATGTTTGATGGTCAATTCCACATAGAATGAATCCAAAATTTCAGAAAATGGCGGCTCGATTTTATCAAATGCATCGTTGCCAAATTCATAATGATGATTATAGTTTCCATAAATATAACTATTCATTTATAACACCCTTCTTAGAAATTAGAATCGTGAAGATAAGGGTGTGTTTGGTATAACGAAAAATGTTTTCCGTAGAAAATGTTTTCCAAGAAAATATTTTTTTGAAAAACAAGTAGCAATCTTATTTATTTTCCGGCGTTTGGTACGCAAATTAAAGAAAATGACTTCTCAAGAGTATTCATAAATAATTTAGATATAATAAACATGAAGCCATAAACTTTCAAACCAACAACCTTCTGAATCCACAAATTTCATAAACTTTCGAACCGCTAAACTTTCGAAAACCGCGGAATTTCGAACCTGTAAACTTTATAATTTCTAAACCCGTAAACTTCCAAACACATAAACCTCCGAACTCATAACTTTGGTACTTGTAAAATTTTGAACCTTTAAACCTATTAAAAAAAAAACTAAAACTGAAAAATATATTTAAAAATATTTTTTGGGGGATGGGGAGGAGGGGGATGGGGAGGGGGAGGGGCAGAAAAATGAAAAAAAGAAGATATTTAAATTACAAAAAAAGTAAAATTTTTTTTAGTCCGGGGGGGGGGGGGGAAGGGGCGGCGTGGGGTAGGGGTTAGAGGGGAGAGTGGGGTGGTGGTGGGCAGAAAAACGAAAAAACAGAAATTGAAATTGCAAAAAACAAAAAATAAAGGTAATTTTTTTTTTTTTGCGG